TTGCCCCGTCTGAAGTGGGCCTTAGGCTCGCTTCCACCGTCCACGCTCAGCGAGCAAGCCTGCTTCAACCGTTCACACCTCAAGGCAAGCTGGACAGCTACAAGCCACCTAAATGTCTACCGCCGCATCCCCGGCCAGGTCGTGACGCGACATAACTTATTAAAAGTCTTGCTGTCACTGCCACGACCGGCCAGAGTAAAGTCGAGAAAGAATCATATAAATCATTTCGTAGCTGTCTTGGAACGACCCCCCTCAAGGGAGAGTCGTCCCTCCGCCGTTCGTCGATTTTTGGACTGACACAAAGCAACTAGCCGTTTTGGCCCAGCAGTTACAAATAATAGTGCTCATTAACTCGCCTGCCAGCATTCCAGGTGCCAACCGCAATTTCCGCCAGTTTACCCGTCACCCGCTGAGAATCTTGTCTGCCAGTGTTCCCGGTGTCAACTGCCATTTCTGCAATCTTTCCAACACCCACTGACAAAAACCCATCTGTACTCCAGGCCTCGACAAGCGCTTACTTGCCTACCGCATCACCCCAAGCCTAAATCCTAAATCTGCAATGAGTCCTGGCTAATTCCCCTCCTGCCACTCGTTATCCTGCCATCCAGCGAACATGCCGTGACTCTCCTCTGCCTCTGAAGACAACTTTCTTACATCTTAAACGCGCTCCCCGTCTCTTGCCAACCACTAATCTGGGGTAAGCGAGAAAGCGGGTCTGCAACCTCGTTCTTTGAGCCCTTTAGGTACTCGATTCGAGGAGACACCTGCTGAGCTCTGCCGTGAGACAAGTCGCCAAAATTCCAACATATTTGTCTCAACGGGCATCGTTAGCGTTAGTGAACAACCCGCTTAACGAATCCGTGAGACTTTCTGGGGACGGCTAGAAGCAGAGGCATACCAAACGAGCCCCACGTTGGATTTTCTATTTTAATGTTGGTTTCTTTATGGAGTTCACTTAGCTACTAATAATCACCGCCCAATTGGTATGCGCTCCGCCTGTCACCCAGCGAGTGACATACAGCAACGAGAAGACAGCGAATAAGTTGACTGTACCTCACGGTTGCCCGTCGTTCGGAGCCGGCACTCCAGGCACGCCGACCCTTGTTGTCGCCCGTCGATCAGAGCTCACAGTCGGAGTCAGTGTACAGGCCTGCGGATCGTCCTTGCCACGCCAGCGCTGCGTAGACAGGCTGTCCCGGGCTATCACTGCCCGAGTCTCGCTGTGGAATCACCCCGGGATCGTCATGGCCTAGGCTAGATGGCCAGGACTCGCCGTTTCTAACGGGCCGGACTTCGAACCTCGCTGGTGGACCGCTCCGGGGTTCGGCATGGGCCAGGCCAGGCAGCCCGGCTCCGATGTTCCTGCCCAGCTCCAGCCTCGCTCAGCACGCACTGTCTCGCGCCAACTCGTGACTTCTCCGCCGACCGCCTGTCATGTCCTCTGCCTAGTCTTTCACCCTTTGGCTTTCAGAAAGTTAAGGAAAGGAAATGTACCATTATGTTCAGTGAAGTTCGGTGAGAAGACCCAGGACTCGGACAAGAATGCCGTTATCCTTGCTGTGACCCTATGAGACTCTCTTGCTGCCTTTTCTGGGGTTTATCTAACTGATGTACCTGTCTGAAAAGTAGAAGAAACATATGTGCATAACACTCATTATTCACAAGAAAATTTGTCAACATCCAAAATGACCCACGGAGAAAATTATGCGAGGAATTTGTCGGCCACGTTGGCCGAGTTACCCCTCGTGGCCAATGCTTCATTGCAACTTTAAGTGTAGTAAACAGTCATAAGGTATATTACAAAGTGCAATTTGGTTTTGTACGAACCTACAACACACAAAACAGCACTCTAATACAGTATGTAGAGGTACCTCTAAACAAATTCCAGGGTTTCATGGAGCCTCCTTCAGATAACTGATGTTGAACATAAAATATGTGCACCAAGGAGTGAGCAAACAGTGACTTCCAATTAGTCTCAAGCACCAGCGACATGTCGACAAGGAGTGCAATGTGTAGAATGTCGTCTAGAAATGTGCAGCCCAGATGAAAAGGCGAGATATAACGATATCAGAATAAGATCACACCAAAAAGGTTCCGTTACAATCTAGGCACAGTAATGAGTCACCCGACGTTCAGCCGCTATTCACTTTGCGTTGAGGTGAAACATGGCAAACAAAATATAAAAAACGCGTTTTTTTTTTGGTTTTTTTCTGTACATTATTTGCTTTGCGCCGTTGATAGAAGCACAGTTGGGCGGCATCACAAAGTCACTCGCTAGCGTTTTTTAAATTCGTTCATCGGCACTCATGGTCTACCCTGGAGGAGAAAAGTACGAGCTCAGAGCCGAGCCGCCGAGCGTCGATTGCGACTTTCCTAAAGAGAAGCTCCGGTAACACTTCGGCGACTCGTCAGCTTCAAACAACGCCTCTTCGAACCAGCTTCGAACGAGCCTGACGCGCCCGCGAATCCAATGCGTCGAACGGTCGCGGCAGAAAGCACGCCGGAAGGAAGGGGGCTGGAGACTGAGTATCCGAAAGAGACGCGGCGCTGGTTTCTACGTCTATTTCGCACATGAGATAACAAACTGGCAAAGCTAGCCGAGTGTGAACAGTGACTGACGTTACATTGGAGCACACGCAGTCGGAATGACGCCTGCAACAGAGCACAGCTAGAGGTTTTCAACAGGGGACGCATGCGTTCAGAAAGGCCGCGATTTAAAAACTTCGTCTCCTTTCTGTCCTTCGGTGTTTACTTTGATCCGCGTACACCAAAGCACTCAATGCTGCAAGTAATAAAGTCGTGTATATGTACCTTTCGAAGCAATTGAAAGTGTGTAGGTTTCGCTCGATGCCCACGAGCACAGAGTGCGACCAACGCCGATCCCGCCGGCAGCGCGACGGCGCCGGCTGGCTGGGTCGCCGGGTCAGCCGGGTCGCGCAACCGACGCCCGCCCGCTGCGCACTGCGCATGCTCGGCTTCTCGGCTCTCTCAGCTCTCTCGGCCACTCTGCTGGCTCGGCAGCACACCGACTCGCGGGCATCGCGGGCTCGCCCGGCTCGCTCCCTTCGAAGTTCGAACAGTTCGAAGTTCAAACTGCTTCCAAAGCGCGAGCTTGCGCGAGCTTGCGCGCGCGCGCGCGGGTTGGCAATGGAAACTATTTTCTCGAAAAACGAGGCTGTAACGTATCGTTTGATGGCGCAAATGCACGTATTTTTCACGTCGTTTTTTGTACAGTGTGTGAATCTCGCGAAACAGGCGAGGAAAAGTGGTGGGTGAAATGTGCTCGCATGTCGTCGTGGATTTTGTGTACCACGTAGGATTACCCAGAAAGGTGGGTCAATATCGATAAATGTGCGCTCAAGAAGCAACTACATGCACGTGACCTGTCAAAACCTATTCACCCTCATTATTTTATCGTGCGAACCGACATTGCCACGTATCGTGTTCGATTTCGGTCCCAACACCGGTAACTTCGAATAGCATATCGTGTTTGATGTTGTTTCTCGCCGTCGGTAACTTCGTATTGATATCGTATTCGGTCTGGTGGTTGTGTCTCAACACCGATGGTTTCTTGTTGTATTGCGATGTTGTGTTGCAACATCGAATTGTATCCCGGTGCGTTGGGTTTATCGTTTGGCGATCAACTTTTGTTGCATTACAACTGCAATAAACATTTGTTGGAAAACAATCACGCCAATGAGCACGTCGTTATTGGGCTTTGTCATTAAAAGGTAGTCGCGGCGGGTGTTCCGGCTATAGTTATTCTGAAAGGTTTGTTTGTTGTCTAGTTTCAAAAGCGCGAGGCTGTGTGTACTGTGTGCCGTACTAACAGCTGTACATACTTGCACTGTCGATGAATGTTAATGTGTTCGTAACGCAGAACGTTTATACTATGTGTGTATCCACACCCAATATATTTCTCGCGTATTGCCGTGTGGATATGCCAACGTAATTCATGTTGGTAACTTGGTATCCGCGTTCTGAGATTTATGCGCGCGATATCATATTGTATTCTCCTTTGGTCCCATGATCGACGACAGATATTTGTATATCGTGTGGCCGTAATATGTCCATGTCGGTCACCAATATGCACGCGATGTCGTATTCTATTCCAATAACCGTGTATTATATCGGGGTATTGTGCTCCAATATCCTGTTGTATACCAATAACCGCATACTATATCGGGATATTGTGCTCCGATATGAATTCCCACCGTGCTTATTGGGTTAATCGGATAACAATACGTTTTTATTGGTTTCCACCATCTTCATTGGAATACAATATTTCTAATAAGCCGACTTCATATTGGCCTTTTTCAATAGGGACTGCATTCCGGGCAGCCGTTGAAGGCTTCAAATATGCGTATGATTTGCGCATCATTATTTTACCGCGTGCTTAAAACTAACTATGACAATACTAAATGGTGCCATTCCTCATAGATCGTGCACAGATTTGATCTCGCAAATAGTTTGGAACTTTCATTCAAGTCATACGCGTATCGGGAGGCTACTGGGACTAACTTCTGGAGAGCGCCAGTGTGCCAGTGCGTTCTATATGTATTCACGTGCAGCGGTTGCAACCGCATGCACGTTAATACATATACAAGTCAGGGGAGTTTGCCATAACACCGTCGAAATCCTGCGGATAGTTCAACATATCTTTCCTGATTCTACGCGAATGAGACCAAGAATCGTAAGCTGTAAACAAACCTTCTTGAGGCCATGTAGCGGCGATCGATATTTTACTAAGAGCCTCGTTTAATTCCACAAATACTTTAGAAAAATGTCGGCTGCCACCCTGCTGTTAAGGAGGCTCCATTTCAAGTTACTTCAACAAAATTGATTGTTCATTTGTTTAGTCGGAAATAGATAGATTCTAGGAACGAATAAAAGCGCGCAATATTAAGTAGTCTAAAGTGTCCCAAATAAGCGCAATAAATATTTCGATATAAAACCAAACTCGTATAACGCACTTTTTGTTCTTGTCTCAATTGTTGCAGAAACCTCCAACGTAGCCAACACAGAGGAAAGTCCGTCTACTAGTTGCTGGAAACTTCTCCTTGACCGCCTTTTCCTACCCGATCTGGTGACGATTATGATGTGTTGGGCTATCACGGGTTTCAGCGAAACAACCTTGGAGCCCAGTCTTCGAACGGTTTGAGCGCCTGATGTTGCATGCGAAATTTTATTAATGTTATTATTTTAAGGACGAGTGCTTTTACTGCTTGATTTCTAGATCTAGAGCAGTCGTTCTCAACCATTAATGTTTCGCGGGCCCCTTGTGGATTGACGGAGATCATGAAGGACCCCGTTCATGCTGAGGGGAAGGGAAAGGTATGGGTTCATTATGATAACGATTTAATAAACAGATATAACTATAAGCACTAGTGTGAAGCAGACTTCGCTCATCGACTTACACATGAGAAAACTCACCCAATAATTGAAATGTTTCCTCTCACTCTGAAAAAAGACAACTTTAACTGTAGGGCTTCGGGGACCCCTAGGATGCCTTCGCGGACCACAAAGACTCCGCGGACCCCCCTTGGAGAACCACTGATCTAGAGCATAACGAAGAGTTCTAAAACAAACATGGTAACATGGGCTTACGACAGTGACGGAGTTGTGGCCACTATGAACTACGGTGTCTCGTGATGTGACGTCACGATTCACGTGACGACGTAAGTTAGCTACGGAGTAGAACGTGAGCACATTACCTGACGTCACGGTGTAACTTGACTCCGTAACTTGATGTTAAAGTTTCACTGACTACGTAATTTGACGACACGTTATCACGTATCCTGGCATCAGAGTGTCATGAAACCGCGTAAATTGACGTCACAGTATTAAATATGAATCGCAACTACTGTGTGTCACGTGACACCACAAGGTAAGTGAGATGCCGTGACATAATCAAGGGGATCGTTCCACGTGACCACTGTTCAATAAAATTATCCCCTTCAGTTCACAATCCGAATAACACGATATTTTTATGCATAATAAATGTGTGGATAATACATTCTTTTTAATACATTGTTTCAGTTTGGGTTGAGCCGTACTGAAATTGGAAAGCTGTACGCGGTGCAATATGCGTCTTCTATGATTAGAAGCGTCGTGGCTGGAATCTCTTGCTATTTTAAGGTACTCTTTTTTCGGTGTAGGACTGCAGGTAGTTTTGTTTCTTCCTCGCTCTGGGTGCGTCATAAGTAAAAGTATGGTGTTATATTTACTTCCTCGAGGGATGTTTAAGTGCGCAGCCGAGTCGAAATTGATCTAAGTTGTATTCATGCCGTCAACAATGGTATCAATAACAAAAAAGGGAAAACCAAACTGGGAATAAAAGGAACAAAAAGCAAACAAAACAAATGTTTCTTGACCAGCGGGTATATAGACCGACACGCGGGATTGATGTCACGGAGCTGCGGCAGCACTGCGATCGCGCCGGAGCCGGCTGGTGTAGGCAAAAGGGCGCACGTTGCGCATGGGCTTCACAGCTTTTCAGAATGGCGCGGATCTGTTTTGCCGTTAATTGCACCGAAATGTACAAGAAAAGTAGCGGAGAGAGTTTCCACAAGTTGCCGGCAGACTCTGAAAGGCATATATAGAAGGTGGATAATACCCGTGGATCGAAAAGTATGGTCGCCTCGCGCGAACGACCGTTTGTGCAGCAAGCACTTTCTTGAAGGCAAGTGCGGCTTCCATTTCAATCTCCGTCCCGAGGCTTGCTTACGTGCAGGGAAACCGTCGTCTGATCGACACCACACGGATTTCGTTCCCACGGTGTTCGTGTACAAAGCACCGGCCAAGCGCTCGTCGGAGGCTCACTACACCCGTGCTACCCAGCAGAAGGGGATCGGCGACAGAAGGGCTGTGTGGTAGGCGTTATCGAAAAAAAGTAACGAAATAAGTTTCTCGTTACTTGCAAAGAAAAGGTACGCGTTACCGAGCTACGTTACCTAAAAATAAAAGAAACGCGTTACCGCTACCGATAAAAAGTAACGCACGTTACTTCTGCGTTACTTTTTAAATTAAGATTTAATACGTCTTACGGTTTCGACGATACAGGTATGCATAAACTCATATGTCAAGAAACTTTATGTTCATCCAGAAAGTGAACATAATTACTTCATATTTTTTGTGGTTTCACCTAAATACTCACGAGAAAAACGAAAAAAGAAAAACATGACTTGACGGCTTAGAACACAAAAAAAATCGAAGTGTAATTTCTTTAAGACTTGGGAAGTAGTAAGGAGTAACGTAATTACGTTATCCGTTACTGTTTCGGAAAGTAAAAAGTAGGTTACTACGTTCATGAAAAGACTAACGCGTTCCTGGTAGCGCCGTTACTTGAAAGGTGTTACCGCCAAGACTGCTGAACGGGCAAAGCGTTACGGCTTGTCATGCCTTGTGGTCATGAGCGTAGGAAAAATATCAGACCTTGAGTTCAAGCCGCTGTGTGTATTTAATCAATTATTAAATACACTTCCGTTGACCCAAACTCTGCTGATCCCGCCGGCAGTGCGGAAACCGACTCGAAGCAATCGTAGGCTCCGATAGACTTGTACGGCTGCACCGTGCCGGCCGTGTACTGGCTTGGCGAAAAAAAACTAAATAGACGACGACGTGAGCCGTCGACTTCGGTGGCAGCAACTTCACGTGGGATGTCCAGCAGACCTTGTTTACGGCGTACGGATTCTCGTAGGCAACGCTGTCTACGCACAGTTTGTTTCGGTACCGCTGCTCTTCGGGCTCGGGTAGCGAGCTCGAATAGTCGGGCTTAGCATACGACATACGTTGTCAGGAAATACGACGCACAAATAAAGCTAGAAGCGTCCCTCCAACGTCAACCACGAGCGCACGCCATAGAACGCAATGGCCAAAACACAGAGAGCCGGGCCGCTTTTGCCCACACAGCTACCGCGCATGCGCGTCTTCCGGCCGTGTTGGTAAACAGAGCCGCTCCGCGTGTCGGTCTATAGGAGAAGGCGGGAAAATGCGAACATAGCACGTTTTTTTTGTGCCTGTGCCAGTATATATTGTTACGGTAGCCTCAAACGCTTTTAATAGGTGGATATATTATTGGTCGATAATTTTACAATAATGATATGAGCTAGATTTTAAATATACTAGTTCGGAATTGTTTTCAAACAACCCGTAACGAACTGACCTGATATTGTAAAAAGTAAGTTGGATCACTTACTAGGTAACCTAAAGACAGCGTGCAGTTCCTTTTCTCGTGACATTATTTTACGCCTTCGTTTTATTCAAAAAATAATGATGGTAAACTTTCCAGAAATTGAATAGTCTAGTGACCACATGGACGGTCAATATTCATTTTCAGTACTCAATGCACACACAGAAGGACGTCTGAGACTGCGTATGAAAACATAGAGTATGAAAATCGTGGTGGTGCTTTGCAGCTGTAAAAGAAGCAATTATTTTGAATTTATGAATTTCAGGTGGAGACATTTTTTTGTTTCGTCGGACAAATTTTTGCAGCGCTTGCGTACCTTTTGGTGGGGCCTGCGCCATTCATCCCCTATGAACGGTAACCACTATTTTGTTTTCTTGTATAAATCATCGCGCGAGTTGGTTTTTAAACCCCGGTAAGGATTGTTTTCTGTCAAAGGGCACTTTGGATGGTCTACCTGGCACAAGCCTTCATTGGACTGGCGATGTCACTGATAATGACTTGCGCGTATTGCCACACACGCAAAGTAGTCACGTGAGTACTGTGAAAATGAAACAACAAAAACTTTAAGGTAGATGCTGTATGGATATGCACACGCAAACGCCACATTTATATTACTACGAATATGTTCTATGTACAGTGCAGGTATAAGCGGAGTGTTGAACACACACTTTGTCTTTAGGTTGCGAGGCTGCCCGGATACCATTCAAACCAAGGGATTTGTGAGCAGCAGCCTCATGGTAGCCATGATGATAGGGTATGGTGCCGTATGTTTCATTGCTTTCAGCGTTTCGCAAAGAGAAGTTTTTTGCTCACATATTGGAGGCCCGAGATACTCTTAACACGAAACAGTCTTTTCCATGACACTAACCATTTCATAAGCCCTATCAGACATCCCGCTACCCAAAAACAGAGTACAACTTTTCGCTATCTGGATTATGGAACTGGAAAACTTTCTGGAATATATCCGGATTTCAAGTTTCCAAGAATGATTTCTTTGACTGCAGTCTGAACTTCATTTTTCCAGAGACAATTCCAGTTAGGTTTTCAGTTCCATAATTCAGATAGTGAAAATATATACTGAGTTTTTTGGTAGATAACTCTTAGTGTTAAAACTCCCATGCAATCTATTTAGGTCAGAATTAAAGCCTATTCGGCCTTGAACTATTTCCTTAGCTTATTTGCGTACATCCTAATGATACCACTTGAAAGTGTTGAGAGGTACAGTTGGCACACGGTCACTTTTCTGTTCAGTGTATACATACCTTCCGTCTATCCACGACTGCCTGCAGTTTGGCAGCCTGCTTTCAGGGCTATCGCTTGCCGTGTGTTCGTTAAGGGAAGCTCGACTCGATCAATGTTGGAATACAAACCTAGCTGTTCCCGAGGACGTTTTTTTCAATACCGCAGACGGTGGCGTTTCGAATCAATAGAAGGAGATAATCATATTTCCTTTGTACACGAGCAAACATAGGAGGCGACTTTTTGGAGTAGTAGTATCGTCTAATTGCCGATGAAACACCGGCTAGTTGTGATCATTTTTTGTGCCGTGCAATTGTTTATATAGGTACGTTAGTGTGACAAATATGCTGCCTTACTGCTCATACCTCTGTCAGAATGTTAGACGCATAACTAGATATTCTAAAGTTTGTGCATATAATATGCGATGCTTGTTAGAATTCCAGTGAGGGTTCCCGTCTTCTGAGAGAAGCTAAAAATTCGCCACATTGCTCAAAGTGCTAACTGCGGTTTTTTAATCGTCAGACATGTCTAGCACCCGTTACTAATTCCGGGAGTAAAATTCTGATTTGAACAAATCTCGGTAAGTCGAGTTCATCAATGGCCCGTTAACATTTGTACCGTGAAGTAGTCTAGCTTCCAAAAAAGATTTATGTTTTTTTTTTTTTTTTTTTTGTGTGTAAACAGCGGCTTGGTTTTGCCACCTCTTGCCGGTTACATCGTCGAGCAAGTGGGGTACAGAACCGGAACAATGGCCCTTTTCGGTCTTTTTGTCGGCTGGGTAAGATGCTGTTGTTCTGTCAAAACGCAGACTCTCAGGGAAGTCAGGGTTTCTCTGTGTACGACGGGAGGTAGGAAAGTTGCGCCTCTGCATACATCTTCTTTCTTCATAAAGTGATTCTAATGCATTGTTACCAGTTTTTCTTTTTATAAAGTTTACGTAAGCACCTACATTACTTTGCAATCTCGAAGGTAACTGCGAATGGTCAGTGACCATTGTAGCTATCGCGGCCATCATGAATCCGCCAAACTCCATTACAATATTTCTGATTTCGCTTACTTATAATTACTATAAGGAATAAACGCTCTTCACTCGATATGCCGCCGCCGTCCGATTTTTAACAAAGAGTCGTCAAAGTGTGTATCTTGTCATTTACTTCTTTTAACGTTTCAAAAAACGAAACGGATCAAATATGACGGAAGGGTCCCCTCGGATTTCAATTCTAAGATGACATTCAGGACTGTAGCAGCCATCACAACTAAACAAAATTGTCGCGCCCAGCCAAATAGAATTAGAAGTACCTTTTCATTCCTAATCGCACTACTAGAAAAACAGATTGACAATAGTTTTGTTTGCGAAAACCAACGCCGATGAGAATCTTTATTGAAAGCGTCCAACTTGTTATTTAAATGTTCATTGCGATCCAATCAGTAGTCACAAAGTCAAAGCCAGAGCAACTATCACTCGCTACAGGTACCGCCGGATCAGCTATTCTATAAGTTGTTCAGCTTCTCACAAATGAAGTTAAATGGGCTAGATGAAGTCACATTCCCTTCTGAATTATAAAATTACTACCAACCCAAAAAATCAAAGCAAAACGCACAAACATTACATACACACAAACGCATACTCACATACACATACACGCACACCCACAAAGCACACACATCCACACGCGCGTACGCACATAAACACAGAGACATACGCACATACGCACACACATTGAATTTCTTTTCCTCGTCGCAGGCTGACCCAATTATAACAGGATGGCTGGTATATGTTGTTAAAAGATCTTTATTTTTTATTCATGAAAATTCCTCGACGCTTGTACGGTGCGTTTTGAAAAAACACACAATATTTATAAAAAAAAACTAATGCTGTGAATATAATTTTTTTAAACGTCATATGCAATACAATCATGATCTGGGACAAGCCTTACGCAGTCGTGGTACTCGAGTCTTTTTATTTGCTTCGTAGCGTGCGGACCTCGCCCTCATCACGGCATTGTTAACTTGAGAACCCAATGTTAAATCAAACAAAAATGTAATACCAATTTATCTTAATTTGGCTGAACTCGCTACTACCTTATTTTGCAAATAACACTAAGTATGAGATATTATTAAATCTGAAGTTCACGCTAACAATAATATTTAACGTTGAGGGCATCTCCCACTCAATGAACCACTGTTTTAATTCATTTGGGTTAGCACGCAGCAGCCTAAACCTCTTTTTTTAAATATGTTCGTAGACGTAACAAGCATCTGCAAGCACTCAGTACGGTGACATAAATATTGTTCATAAACACTAAAACCAATATTATACCCAGTACCAAATCTTGAGGTGCGCAAAGTAACTAGAACGAGATGGTATATTTTGCCATTCAAAACAAGAGATGGTGGACACAAACGTGTGCTTCGGTCATTATTAATATTCAACTTGCTGAGCACACGGCTCCACTATGGTGCTAAAGGACAAACGCCGTCATAACGATCTCAACATTGGAAAGCTAGATTAGCTGGATTTTGCCAGCCGCCAGAGAAACAGGTGCTCGCTGCAGATTTTTTTTTTCGTGCCGCCAGCAAAACAAGCGTGCGTAGTTCAATGCGGCTCATTTTTACAAGATCGTTGACCCTTCCCAGAAGTCTACTATGTGAGCACCTTTATCCTTATCTATATAATATTCCTCAGTCCTAAGTTTGTTCAGCCATTTAAGTAAGCTAAATCTGAAAGATAGTCCCTGGGTTGTAAAGCGACGTGCAAACTCCCCAAATCTTTAAAGTACCCTAAAATATCATTCCTGGTGAGTCTTTATTATAGCGGATAAAACATAGATGTGAAAAAACTTGAAAAATTGTAAGGGCGACTAGTCTGATGTCCATAGCCACCGCTATTGTTTGGGCGACAACAGGTCGGTAGTGTACCTAGTTATTTGCTGAGTCGAATGAAAATCCTTTTGTAGACTAGAATTACGCGTTTTACTCAGTGGTGCAAAATATGTGCACACAATAAAAGGGGCCTTACTGAAAATGACAAATTGGTTGTACCTACTTCGTAGAAAGTAGGAAAGATACTTCCGATTTATAAGTCAGGGGACGGAAACAAACCATCTAGCTGTAAACTTGTCTAACTAGTACGTGTGTAAGCTTCTGGAACAGATGATGCTTTCCCATATGAAGAAATATATTGATGACCATGCATAGTATTATTTTCCCCCCATCAGCACGGTTTTGGTAGATAGTTATCGCGGAGTACTCAGTTAATTCAGCTAGTTCATGAACTTTCGGATATAATCAATGACAGGGGCCAAACAGACTTAATTTTTCTTGACCTTTCGAAAGCGTTCGACCGAGTATCGCACCATAAGCTTTTCTTAAAACGTTGCACTATTTTTAAAAAGGATCACTTTGTTAACCGGATATCGTTCTACTTATTTAATTAAAATGCAGTGTGTATATTTTAAAGGTCACACTTCTACTCCCCTTCCAGTCCTCTTCCAGTAACGTCAAGTGTACGGCAGGTTTCAGTCCGCGGGCCTCTTTGGTCCTTGGTTTTTATCAATGACATTAGTAAAAAGATTCAAAAACCCGTTAGGTTATTTGCAGATTGCGTTATTTATTATGTAGCAAAATCGGCCCAGGATCAGGTAACTCTTAACAATGCTTTAATACGGATTGAAGAATGAACAAATATTTGTCACTTGGAAATATACTGCGATACAACTGTAGCAATGATAATAATTAACATGAAAAGAAATCCTTTAAAGTATGGTTATTCAATAAATGCGAACCGCATTAATTTTGTTGGCCACTCTAAATATCTTGGAGTAACCATAAGTAGCAAACATCTTTAGAACCAGTACGTAGATGACGTTCTTAAAAAGCAAGAGGAAAACGTTTTACACTTAGACGCACCTTCAAATTCGCTGATTGGGAAACAAAGAAAAACTGCATACCAAACTCTATTTCGACCTATTCTACAATATGCTAACACAGTTGGATATCCTTACACTGCAAGTGAAATTAACAAAATTGAACGAGCGTAAAAACTGGGTGGGAGATTCCTATTCAATAATATAGGTATAGTGTTTCGACGTCAGGTTTACTGGAGCAAGCTGTCATCCACTCACTGAAGACTAAAGCGAGAATATACAGATTACGTAGAATTACGCAACTTAAAACTCTTTGATAAATGTGTTATTTAATGTTAATAGTGCAACATATATACATTTTTCAAACAGAACATCGTCTAGAATAAATCATACAAGGGCTATTAAACAATATAATTTGAGAGACGATATATGTATCCTCTATTTTTCGGGCAATCAACGAATGGAACTCTTTACCCAACGAAGATTTGTAACCCTTCCGTCATTGGGCGTGTTTGGTAATGCAAATACTTCTGCCACGAGTTAGTGTTATTGAGCGAAATATGTCACTGTTCTATGTAACCACCCCTGCCTTTGCTCACAGGCGTGAGCCACAATATTCTTTATGTAAAAAAATTTAAAAAATATCGCCCGCTGCTTTTAGTGTGGGCTTTGTAGGGCTTGCAGCATTTTTGAATTATAAAAAATAACATTAATAATACATCTAGGTGGGTAGCAAAGAAACAAAAAGAAAAATGCCACAAAAGTAAGTACGCTTTCAGAAATAAAACAAAAACACCAAGATGGTAATTGTAAAAAAAAAAATTACTACATTATGCGAGATTACAAAATAGTTTCTTGAATTCAGTTCTGGGGACGACAGTTCTGTTGTGGGTTTTAATCAGTGACAGTAAGTGACAATAGAAGCTCCGCAACGTGACGGTTCTTGCCTTCGGGCGTCTCACTACGAGGTTATAGCGCGTACGATCTTGGCGGCGTTCTGAAGAGACGATATATCATGACGTAAGCATGTTCAGTAGAAAACAATGTGAAACTGAGGGGGTTTACAAAGATTGTGACGTTCAGAACCGGGGGAGGGGGGGAGGGGAGGGCATTGGCACGGATTCGAAAACAGGTGACGCTGGTGAAAAAATAAAACTACTCGTAAAAAAACAAAAACAAAAACAAAACCGTTATGCCAGACATTTCGAAGTGATTCAGTATTGTTGATAGGGCAGGCTCCATCTGGTTCCCAAAAGGCAAATGCGTATTCCAGTTTCTAAGTGTCAAGGAAAGATCAAGCAAGCAGTTTTAGGTATGGTGGGGTGAGTTTCAAGTTGCGCTATAAAAGCCCTAAACAACGATAGCAGAAGAGATGATATGGCTGATATGAAAAACCCAGGAAAGACCAGATGAGGGGTGGACTCTGCGATACTTAGAGAAATTTTAACGTGAAACGTTTACAGGCTACTTTTTCAGGTCTCCATCGTGTGCCCCCAGGACACCACATTCTTCAAGAAGTTTATCAACGATTTCATCTGTATCACCCGCTCCTCTCAGTAGACCCTCCGAGCCTTGAGAGTATGAAAATAAATAAATAAATAAAGTGGAGCGTAAAACAGCGTAACCGTAAATACCGCTAAACTTAGCGAGAAAAATGATATTGCATGGCTTAGTGTAACGTGACCTCTACGAAAAATCAGTTTCCCCGATAGCTTTTGCGCAAGAAGTGTTGTAAGGCGACATGGTCACGTTATTTTGCACAAAAACAGTTTCCCGGCTAGACTTAGCAAGAAAATTAATGTCACGTGACATCTACAACATTCAAGTCTTTCCGCTAAATTTAGCCGAGAATATGACGTCACATGACCTCGTGCCACGTGAGCTATACACAAATTCATTTTCCCAGACAGATTTAACGGCAAAAGTCACGTCACGTGACCTCAAAACAAACAGTTTTTCGCCGCGAAATTTAGCGGCGAAAATGATGTCACGTGACTTCATGCCGCGTCACCTACACACAAATTTAGTTCCTCCGCTAAATTTAGTGAACAAATTGACGTCAGATGTCATGACGTCACGTGGCCTATGTGTAAATTCAGATTCCCTGCTAGACTCAACGATAAAATTGACGCCACGTAACCTATACTTTAATTCAGCTTACGGACTACCCGTCATTTCGTCATTCTGTGGGAAAAGTCAGTGGGTCATTAGGGAGTTTTCGTGGGCCGTTTTTCTACCTCCGCTACGCTGTCCGGACGAAGGCACCACTACTGCGCCTGCGCGGCGCTAGCCTTGTCTGCGGAGTCGCGGTTCAGTAGCGGGTTGGGGTGAACGTTGCGGGAGAGCGGAAACGATATACAAAAACTCCCTATTGAGTGTATGGGATGGAAAGGAGTCAATGGGGTGGAAGGGAGTGGGTGGAGATGAGTGGGGAAACCTGCAGAGGCACAGCTCGAGAAGAAATGCCTGGAGGTTAACAGCGCAAAATCAAGAACGCTTCACGTAGCATAAAGGCAAAGTAAAATAGTTATGTATTTAAGAAAAAAAACATATATGGTTTTATTCGGCCTCCAAGATTACAGATATAAAATTATATTTAAGATTAATGCGCCAAGTAGCCACAATGAGACGTTCAAAAGAGGGCTGAAGCCCCTCCTTCCCTTCGAGTTCGGCGTAAGGAGAGAATCATGACGTATTATACAGAGATCTCAACATTCCCGCTCATTCCGCTAGCCTTACCCTAGCAGTCAAAAGCGCTGATCGCGCATGGGCAGCTGAAACCTCTACGCATAACGTCGCACACAGCGTTTTTTTTTTTCTCGCGTCGATTGATGCATTTGGGGCAAATGCTTGTGATATTCGTATTCAGATGACAAAAAAATACGGTGAAATTTACCTCTAAGTCATTTTTTAAAGAACCAGTTAAGCCTGCATTAAAATGAATACAAAGAAATATAACGTTTAGAGCGACAAGTAAAGGAAACGAGCCTGCAATTTTGAGAGTTGAGCGACATCTGCCATTTTTCACACCATGGAATAATAAGGATGAGGTCATCTATTTTGAATAAGTACGTGATGTCCAGTGTTTACTATTGTAAATACTGCACTTCTTAAATATAGTGTTTGGAGGCGCTACTTTGGTTGCATTTCTCGTATTGTTTAGTTATCTCCCTGCATTTCCCATCCTCACTATTGTTGCTCTATTAATACACCAGGGAACTAATTAAGCTAATATTATAGTAGATACAGATATTTTTCAGAAGATTTACAACTTTTAACACAGATTTCGAGATATTGCCAAATTAAATTCGCTTAATTTAAAACAAAAGGGTTTAATACAGATATTTTTGTCGTCTTCCAGATACCTGTGACCTTTGCACTGTGGGCGCATTCTTTGTATTGGCCAGGCAAGCATAAAGCGTCCTCTATCAACTCGCATTCCAGAGTTCCTGCCGAAGCCGATGCCTAAATAACATCCTTTCAAATTACTATCACGTTAAAATAGATATTTGCGTTGTTCCGGTCCTGTCGGCAATTTACGTTTACCTTTAAGCCGAATAAAATTGTTTGCCCTGATAGTTTCATCGAGCACTCTTCTTTTCTTCCATTTTAAAATTGTACTAATAAAGAGTGCTCAGAGTCTTTGTGCCTTGTGTGGCAGTGATCCGGATACCCTAAAACTGTGCATCAGAAAACGGAAGTGAGGACTGAAAATACTACATTTCTAGCGCTCTGTTCTATCCCTGAAAGTTTCTCAAACACATGAATGCAAACAAGGAAACTGCAATCGATTTGTTTATTATCTTATCCTATACAAAAAACACACATCTCACACCCACTACTCTAGCTGATGTTACGAGGTTATTGAACTACCTCTCCAGGATGAGGGGAGCTGTAAAATTTGATAACGGAACTCTTTTATGAGCCGTATTTCTTTTTCCACATATACCGTTTTTCCGTGCCACTTTACGTGCAACTTCGCTGCGACTCACCTGCTTTTCTCCAGCGATGCGGAATGGGGGAATGCACAGCTTAACGGCCCCTTGTAGATGGTCCTGCACCTTGAATTACGTGACGTAACTAGGGTAAATATACCGGGAATATTTGTCCACCTAAAATTGGAGGAAAAATTTCCCCGGAAAGAGTAACGGAATTATCGGCAATGGTAGATGCGTGTGACGTCACGTGACATCAGACGTGATGTCATACATCACGTGCTTTTTATAATGACGTCACGAAGGTAACTTTGTGACGTTACCCTCGTGAGGGTAACCCTCGTAAATCTCGTGAGGGTAACGTCACATGTGGCGTCATTATCGGAAACGTCCCATAGTGCAACACCCGGTTACGCCGACGTCGACGACGACGCGGACGACGCCGATTAAGCCGAAACGGGCGCCTAAGAGCTGCGCTTTGAAACCTTTCAAATAAATTATTTCACAGAGGCGCGACGTTTTTCCTAGATTTTCATATATTAACTTAGCAAAAATGCTTCCCGGTATGCACGGTAGACAGTAATGCTAGACAAAACACTTCGTTTGCACGGCGCGAGCAGCGTGAATGAAACTATTTACCTTCTAAAGTAGCGAATTGTCCAACAAGTCGTGAAGTATAGAATGTTTGGAACAAAGACCGACTGTACAATAGAGCTAGACGTGACATCGACAACACGCTAAATGTCTCGCGAATACCTGGACGTAACTGCACGCAGTTAGCTGGAACTGGGCGCAACACAGCACTGCGCCTAATTGACGAGTGATTGCGAGCTCTCGTACCTTTATTGAGTGACGTCGCAAGTGTCAGCGGCACCCGGACGGGCGGTGGCCAACCGCGTCAGCCATCCCCTCCCTCTTTTGACTGGCCAATTTCACCTCTTGAACGCTGCGCCCGGGGCGGTCACCCCACGCTTTCCTAGTGACGCCACTGCCTTTATTTTAGCGGCGTGACAAAACCACAGGTGCAGCAGTCGAGAAATCGATAGAAATCTCGCCCCCTGCAAGACTACACTACTACCGCTACATTGGCATCACTTCTCCTTCCGAATGCTTAACGCAAGACTTAGGCTATTTATATTTAATACTTGAAAATATATAAAACATTTTCACCAGCCAGAAATTAGGCTAACAGAACCTCACAACCGCTACAAGTCCATCCACCCATAAAACGAGGACGTCTCCAGTGAAACGACAGGAAAACAGCTAATGTGGTAAAACTTCTTTCTCCTCATGCTTGAACCTGGAAGTCTTCCGGCCCCGCTCCTCCACTCATTCGCACTGCCTTGAGTATCCTCGCGCAAAGCAAGCAAAATGACAACTGGAATAAAACAAAATCCTGATGCGATACCGGCAACTAATGTAAACCAATTAAACAAACCTGGGTATTTTACTTGCCTGTAAGAGGGATTATATGGGCAAATGTTCTTCATTTTTCATTGAACAATGGAAAATCCTCTCGTAGACTGAGAAATCCTGTTCCTGTAATTTCATGTCAACATACAAAAGCAAATGTAGAGGTTTTCGGAAATTTAGTTGAACTACCGTAAATACCGCTGCAACTTCGCAGGTGGTATCAGCAGCTACTGAAAACCTACAATTGTAAATTATGGAGGCACATCATCGTGTCCTTTAAAGGCCGACGACCATTTCACGCTTTCCACTTTTCCATCGCTTCCTCCTCTCCATAATTCTTCCATTCCCACAGTTGCCTGTTTCTTCCTTTCCCTCCCTCCTCGTCCCCTACTCCTGCTCCGCTAAGCCCAAAGCGGCTAGACCATAAACTCTAGCCTGGAAAAAAAAAAGAAAAAAAAAAGAAAAAGATCACGATATAAAATGAAACCCCAACATGATTGACAAGCGGCCTTGAGTCCGTTAGTTACAATGCCGGTGGTGTCAGTGCAGGTTTTTAGTCAGCGCGCCCTGCACTGGTATTTCTTTATATGTCCCCCTTTGAGCCTCGCTGCATGCCTGGGCCTGCCCGGACCCCTCCTTCTTCAAAGTGACCGCTATCGAGCTCTGTCGGTCGCTGCTCGCCTACATCCAGGACCCTCCGGCTCCTTCTATCGGCACGCGGCTTCAAGGCACTCAGCTCTCCACCACGGAGCCCAGACAAAAGACCAAGCCTAAACCTACCGCACATCTATCCTCTGACGCGGTCGCACCAACCGGGCCAACAAATAAAAATTGAGGCCCCCTGTCCCCCGCTCCTGTGCCTTAAACCCTTTCACCGCAGCATTTCCTAATGCAAAAAAAAAAAGGGAAATAAACGTTCCTTCCTGCCTACCTACGTTGGAATTTTTCTTTGTTTTTTTCGGGGGGAAAAAGAAGAGGGGGGAGGGGGGGACGTTGCTCAATATGATTAAAACTGTCTTTATTTTTTGGCGGTTCTTTTCGTTTTAGAGAGGATATTCGCGACTCCAACTAACTATAGGTGGCGCCACTTATTTTCCAAAATGGCGGTTATAGTGAGGGTCGGAGATGCGTGCCGGCTGTTGAGCCTGCCTAGTGTGTTGGCTTCACTGTGCGACACAAATTATTTCGGGTAATACGAGGAAGCTAGGGTGTTATGAGCGCAGTTCGCCACTTTATGCTAAAAACAAGAACGGTGTTTTGCGTAATATTTACGCAGGGATGTGTGTTTTAATTCTGGAGCGAAACCGAAACTGACCTCTATTTTAGATTTAATTTCTCGATATAGGTCTTAACTTCGGATTCTTTCATAACTCAAGATGTGTCTCACATCGTAATTAGTTAGTTTAAGAAGTTGCTCTCGGAAACTTTATTTTGTAACATACATGTTCGATCCAGGCTGATATTTGTGCGTTCTCGCTGCCTTTTCTCGCTCAGATAATTGTCATGGGAAATGATGAACTGCGAGCCTTTAATGTTTTTTTGTGTATTTAGATGAATAATTGGTTTAATATTATTCCCAGCACACGCATAAGAGAATAATTCCAATTTTTACAATATGTCCACGAAACGTATAAATAATAAATGCTGTTCTCACTCGGATTGCGTCTTTGGGTTGTTACCAGGGTTGTAATGTACCTAGGTACAAGTAAATGGAAATCAGTATCTAGGTACTTTTGTTGTACCTGGGGTACAAACCTAGGTACTTTCATTTCTCGGTATCTGTAACTGTGTCTTAGGTACATTTTCCAGTAACTTGTAACTAAGTGAAGTTACTTTTTACATATACTTTTTTATTCACTTCATCAAAATGATAGAAGCTATAAATCCTGAAATCCAGGATTTATAACTTCATCAAAATGGTAGAAGCTATAAATCCAACACACTACCATGTGCCGTGATAAATGTTGAGTTGGGTACGACCTGGGAGGCACTGACTTGATCGAACGACGTTTTAGCGAACGAAGCCCCGGCCATGATGTTTCATCGAACGACGCTTTAGCGAATGGCGGTGTTCATTTGAGCGAACGGTGGATTAGCGATGCTGTTTAATTCAAGCGACACCAATTTATCGAGTCGCTTCGGAACTACCTTTAGGGAAAAAAGCGACCTGCTTCCTTCATCTCAAACCAAAATCGACTTGATTGCGTTTTTGAAGCTCCTCTGACAACTATACAAGAGAAAAAATAACTAGAAAGATGTGCACAGATTCTGTTCATTGTATCTTGTCCTGGTGGTGGTTCTCTTCTGCCAGAAATACAATATAAAATATAATTGAAAATGAATTATAATTACAACCGTAAAGAAACGTAACATGGCGTATATAATACAGTTTCCACTCAATAAATCGGACTCAAATATGGCGGTTATCGAAACGGAGAAAGTTACGAAAAAAAAAAAAGCTTATCTTTCTTCAAGCTAGCGAAAGAAGAAAAAAAAAAAAACGAGGAAGCTTGAAGCCTTTCGCTCGATGTCGCTAAGATTAGGTGCATATGCTCTCGACTCATGCGTTTCTTCATGCGGCCGACGTATTCTGGGCCCTTCGACGTCAGCGCTGGCTCATGTAAATACGGTTTTCCTGATTTCTCGCATTGACACCAATAAAGCACTTTTATCGAACTCGTTTTTGTGTTTATCCTTAGTATAAAAAGCTTCACTTCCAATATATTCACGAATTCGGGGAAAATAAAGTAAGTTTTTTTTAAAGTAACTGTACCTGTACCTAGGTACTTTTTTAAGCCAGTACCTAGTTACGTACCTAGGTACCTTTTCGTATGAGTAACTGTAACTGTATCTTAGTACATTTTTGAAGTAACTTTTACAACCCTGGTTGTTACAACCCAAAGACGGAATCCGAGTCAGACAGCTAAAGTGTGTGTGTGTGTGTGCGTTTTATAGAAACGCGTGACGCATAGGACTTTATATTACATCCACTGTGTGACTCTTTGTCTATCTTGATAACGACGTCAGAGTTTTTCATACGCTAAAACGAAAACAAAATTATACCTTCTTGGAAAGACTATTATGGTTAAATAGCGTATTTTCGTGATCTTGGCGTTAATTG